AGAGAGAATGAGAGAAGAAATTAACGTTCAGAGTTGTGAACATTACATATATATACATATATATATATATATAATAAGTATTTCATATACGAAAGTTTTCACTCCATAGAATTACAATTGAGTTTCATACTTCGTTTTTTAACTCATCGTTCGTGTTTTTTAGTTTGACAATTAATTAATCATGAATATTAATAAAAATAAAATAAAATTAAATTGTAATTTAATTCTTCAATATGTTTTAGATATTAAAAGTATTTAAATAATTTATTGTATCATACAACATGTTCTCAAAATGATCAAAGTAAATAATCAGAGTAAATAATCAGAGAAAATTATCAGAGTAAATAATCAGAGTAAGTGATTAGAGTAAGATAAGATCAGATTCAAAATTTAACCCTTTACAAGACAAATTTTGTCTATGATTACAAAAGAATTTATATTATTTAGAATCAACAAATACTAATCTTTGAATAAAAATGAACAATTCATTAAATTGATTCAGAAATTTCACATAGACTGAAGCTTCTGTTAATTCATTTTGAAAAAATATTTGAAAGTGTCATTGATCGATGTAATTTCATGACAAGAAAACAATTAGAATTGTTACAACAATGTGTCGGACTAGATAAAACGGTTAAATCGCGAGTAATGTAACGGGAGTCTTCTTCGATTTCGCGAGCGCGAACCTTCCACGACGATTTACCGTTAACGACCTAAATCACTATAAGAAAGAAAGAGAGAGAAAGAAAATGAAAGAGAGAATAGACGAAAGACGTTACATCGTTCTGCGAGTATTCAAAAACAAATGAAGAAAAAGAATGTCGCTAAATTAACCAATCAGTATAACAATTCTAATATAAAACATTTTGTGGGAATAAAATTATCATAATCGAAAAAAAAATTAAAATTAAATAGATAAATATATGAAAAAAAAAAATTATCTATGTTTAATCGTCATAAGAATAAAAATTAATATTCTTTTATTACGGTGTCAGTTTAAAAATTATTGTATTAATTGTAAATTAAAAAAAAATTCTCACACATACACAGAATGGTAATAAAAATAAAAGAAATAGTTGTAGCATATCAAAAATATGTTAGTACGTATTATCATCTAGGAAATATCCTCAGAATACGAGAAAGACAATTTCTTTCAGATTTCTTATTCCCCCCACTTTCTTTCAGTCTCGTTTATCGACGTATGCTAGATGCGAGGGCGTTTATAAAGAACAAGAGAGAAAGAAGAGGGTCACGATAACGCATTGGGAGAACCTTAACGCCTACGTTTCTTGCTGAAGCACCTTCACAAACGATTCATCTTCTTCTTTTCTTCTTCTTTGCATTTTTATTATTATTATTAATCTTTTTTTTCCCATAATCTAAATGTTTCCTTTAACCAATAGTAATTTTCTTATATTTGAAAAAGATTCATTGCTTTTTATTTCAAAGCTAACTTATCGATTAGTATCAAACAAGATAGTCTTACAATTAGTGAAAGCTTAGTCATATAAAAGGTCATATATTGATTAAGCACAATCCGAGTAGGTGTATGATTTCTTTTCCCTTTTTTTCATAGTATTTTTATTACGTCTTAATTTTAATATAATTTTATAACTTTGATTATATAGTTTTTTATATAACAGATATAGTTTTATATAGTTATGGTTAGTTTATATATAGTATAAGCATTAGTTTATATATATTATTTATACATAGTATAGTTTAGTTTATATAGTTTTATAATATAACAGATAATGTGTCATATAATTTATATCAAAACGTAAATAAAAATTGTTTACTCATTTATCGTTTTTCTCTAATTCTAATTGTAAAAAAAAATTAACTAAACAAATTTGATAATCAATTGAGTACATATTTGTTTAGCGAGTAAAATAGAAGTACATTAAATTCGAAAAAAATGAAGCATTGAACTTTGATCGATTAAAATAACTATTTGCCAATAAAGATTATATTCTATCTTTCTATTTTTATCTTTCTTTCCCCTCTTTCAAAGGAATATACGAATTTGAATTTAGATAACAATCGTTGTTAGAGTAGAAGGGTAAGCTCTTGCTTATCTTACGTTAGAGTCGAGAAGAGAACGTTCGATGCGTTTTCAAAGCACGCAGCGTGCACGACGATCGATGCCTCTTACGAAATCGAAACGTGACTAATCGCCAGAGACGAACACCACACCGTCATGGCTGACACCGTCACGGCAACCCAACAACGAACGACGAAGGCCTTGCATTAAATCAAACCAAACCAAACGACTAAGTAGACTATTACAAAGACAAAGACAAAGAGATACTTTTTCCAAGGGAATTGATATTATTTTTGCAATTTTTATTTTCAACATTTGTTCTGCATTTAAATTATCCATTTATTGATATTAAATTCTTTTTGCAATATAAATCGCATCGTTTATCTTTACATAAATACTAAATTGACCTGTTTTATGTGATCTGATTATTATTTTTTTTTTTTTTTTTTTTTTTTTTTTTTTTTTTAAGCAAGCCCTTTTCTAGTGATAAATTTATTTACATAAACTATTCATCCGTTTAAATTCATTTTTCTAAATACATTTTCAAATAATTCATTTTTCTAAATCACATTTTGAACCAACGTGTGTATCAAATGTACCTATACACGTACGAAAAAAGAAACACATACGATTCGCATAATATTCTTTTTATTTAACAACAGAGATCTCGCAGAAGTTTAAAACTTGACTGTACAATTCGACATCTTGTCTTATCCTGTCTTACTTTTACACAGTAAAAGCGTGTCTAAAATATAAATCGAACGAATCGAAAGTCGTAACGAAAGGCAATCTAAAAAACCAAACGTATTTGAGGAAAAAATTCGAAAAGAAAGAATAGAAATAAAAATAAAAATAAAAAAAAAACAAGTAGTCAACGTTCATTAACCTTGTCTCTTAGCAAGAAAACACGCACACATGAATACACGATATAAAAAAAAAATATACTCTAGGTAGCACATATACACGTAATACACATAAACGAAACTCACTCACACGTACACTGTATATACATATATACAAAAGTAACAGCATGTAACGCATGTACGTACGCGTGTACAAGTTTAATAAAACACGCAGGATTGTTAACGAAGTAAATAAAATTCCATAAAAATATAAAATCAAACATATTCGATGCAATAAAAAAAATATTTAAAAAACAGATATCACTGATAAATTTCTATCGATCTCTAAATTGTATTCTGAAAAGTTAACAACAACAAGAGAAGTGTTTCACTTTAGGATACTAATCGTCCTTATAAAAGTTGATCCTATTTTCATCAAGAAAGGAAACATTCGTTTTACGATTATTCCAAGTCTTCTTTCCCAAGAGAGAAATTTTAACGACAACGTTCTCTTACACGAGTTAGAAAAGAGAACAAACTGTTATCGGTCACTATCTTTTATCTCTGCCTACTATGCATAAATAATTTCGTCAATAAATATACGTGTGCGCGTGAGTTAATCTATTAAAAAAAATAACATACATTTAATCTTAATCGTTGATGACTTTTTCTATCTTAAATGTTTCTTCAAGGTTGCAGTATTTTTTTACCTCAATACGAAAACATTTTTTATTCTTTAATTTCACTTAAAAGATGATTAAACAAAAACTAAAATATGATTTAATAGTTGAAAAATTTAATCAGAATTTAAATACACGTGACCTCCTCGGTATTGAATATTTAACTCCGATAATAAAAATAAACATTTTTGTCGTTTAATTTAATATTAAATGAATAAAGAGAAAACTAAAACGTGATTTACTACTTTAAAAAATGTAGTTAAAATTTAAATAATTGATTTCTTTGCGGAATCGAATTATTAATCTTAAGATTGATTGAGAGACCTTAAGGTTAGTGATAAAGAATGACAACTTTTTATATTTAAACTGTATTATGACAAGAAAAAAAAAAGAAATGAGAATTATATTAGAATTATAAAATGTATTCCGAATTAAAAAAAAAATATAATCACCGTAAAAACGCACTTGTCCCATAAAATTAAAACACGATATATATATATAATAGAGAAAAGGCCTTGACAAGATTAAAATACGTATTTTCAAGTTCGAACAATATAGAAAACTGGCGCCAAAACAAAAGACACTAGTTAGAAGAAAATAAGATTCGCTAATAATTTGGCGCGTATTTCAAATATGCGTACGACCCACATTGAGAAAAACCACAAGTATATGAAGATAAAGATAAAGAGACACAGAGCCAAGTCGTAGAGGAAAAGACCGAAAGGTAGCCAGACATAGAAAGAGAAAGAGATAGAGAGAAAGGTAGGGAGAGGGGAAAGAAAGATAAAGACAGAAATACAGTGGAAGGTTTGGTACGTGCGAGCTCCGAAAAAAAGGGCCATCGATCGAGCCACGACGACGACGACGACGACGACGACGACGACGACGATAAGAAGGAGGAGGAGGAGGAGGAGGAGGAGGAGGAGGAGGAGGAAGAAGAAGAGGACGTAGATGTGGACGGGGGATACGACGGGCAACGAGTTCTCGGAAAAATGTCGCAGAAGGACGGAAGGAGAAGAAAAAGAAAAAGAAGAAGGAGGAGGAGGAGGAAGATGGTGGAAGGAAGATAAGGGGGACAGCAGGAGGAAAAGGGGGAAGGAAGGAGGAGGGAAGGAAAGAAGAGAAGTAAGTCGCGCGCGAATCGGTTCGCGCCGAAGCGTTCGTACGTTCTCGCTAATATTCTCTCTCTCTCTCATTCTCTTTCTCTCTTTTCCTCTGCGTGGTACTGACTCGAGCCATTTATATTGTTGTCTCGCTTACCTAACCAAAAGGAAATATCCCGCGTCGTTGGTCGACAACGAAGACGAAGACGAAGACGAAGACGAAGACGAAGACGACGACGACGACGACGACGCGGCGAGAGGCCTGGTCACCTCCTTCTCTTCCTCCTCCTCCACCTTCTTCTCCTGACTACTTGGTCGTTTGTTCGTTCGTTCGTTCCTTCCTTCCTTCGTACGTTCGTTCGTTCGCTACTTGCTTCTTGTGCTTGGTTGTTCGATGCTTAGGAGATCGGAGCAAGGCCTCCGAAGTCGCACTTTTGTGAGAAAGGGACGCAGGTAGAGAGACACCACACGTTTTCTATCTTTCTTTCGTTTTATCTATCAATCTATCTCACTCACACTATTCTACCTTTTCTTTGATCCACCTCTTCTAATTTTCTTTTTCTTTCAGATAACGTTATTGCCGTTACTACTACTACTACTATTGCTGCTGCTACTGCTGATGCTGATGCTGTCGCTGCTGCTGATGTTCCTCCTCCTCTTCCTCTTCTTCCTGCACCACTACCTCCAACTCCTCCTCCACCTCCTGCTCCTCCTCTATTTCTTCTTACGAGACACAAGCAGGCAAGCTATACGTCTTTCTCTATCTTCGTCTCACTAACAACTCACTCTTTCTATCCGTCTATCTATCTTTCTTTCTCTGTCGGTATCCCCTCGCGCGAATAGTCGAGCCCCGGCACGACGCGTCTCGACGGTGGCGTCGTTCCGAGGAGGATACGAACGGTCGTCGCGGAGAACGTCGAGGAGAGGAGTGGAGAGGAGAGGAGAAGTAGAAGAGAGAACTACGAAAAGGGGGAAAGGGGAGAGAGAGAGAGAGACCGCGAACGGTAAGGAAGGAGGGGGAGAGGGGATACAACCGTCGCAGCAGCAACCGCCACCAGAGCCGATGCCGTGCTAATCGTACACTCTGAGTACCTTCCTTTCTTCGTTCCTTCTTCTCTACTTCTTATTCTTATTAGTATTATTATTATTGTTATTATTATTGTTATTACTCTTGTTCTTCGTTTTGCTATCTTTATGCTTGCTTCCCTTTAATAATCGTTTTTTAAAAGAGAAAGATTTAATTTTTTAAATATATCTTTCTCTCTTCTTCTTTTCTTTTATTTTCTTTCTCTCTCTCTTTCCTTCTTTCTTTCTCTTTAAATTTGTTTTCTTTCTTCTTTGTCCGCACTAGTTGTTTACACTCGGAATCAGAGCGCGTTATTATTGTATCATCCACCACTACTATGTAATAATACAACTATTATTACTAGTATTACTATTACTATTACTAGTATTACTGCTACTATTACTACTACTACACTACTACTGCCGCCGCCGATGCAGCTGCTGCTGCTGTTGTTGTTGCTATCAACTAGGTACTATTGCTATTACTACTAGCACCAACGAAAGCACTACCACCACCAGAAGAACACGAACAACGCTTCGACACCATTAACTCGTTCGTTACGTTTGTTACGTTTGTACGTACGTATGTACGTTTGGTTGATCGTCAACCAAAAAGAAAAATTACAAGCGATATTATTTTACGTTGTCGTCGATCCTTCTCATTCCTAATCTCTACTTATCTATTTACTTATCTATGTCCGTTTATTTTTGTTCTACTTTTACTTATTTTTTTTTCTAGAAATCGCAATAAAAACACCGAATAATTTTTCTCACTATCCGCCACTAGCACCTTGTTGTCTTTTACCGTTTCCCGAATTAATTTTTTTCAAGCGTTTACGTTTGTTCTCACGCGATTTCATTTAAATTCTCTTCTTGTTTTTTTTTTTAAAAAGAATGTTAAATTTTATTAAAAGGAGGAATGAAGAAGAAAGGATAACACGCACAGTACGCAATGACGATGACGATGACAACGACGATGTCCGTTTAAAACCACACGAAATTATATCTGTCTATTTTCCGTTTTTCTTTATCTACCTTTTTTTTCTTTTTCTTTCTATCTATCCATCTAACTATCTCTATCTCTTTCTCTCTTTCTCTCTCTTCTTGAGAGCGTAGTAACGCGTCTCTCTGTCTCTCTTTCTTTTTCTTTCTCTTTCTGTTTCTCTCAGTCTTGACACACACGTCCGTACGTCGCGGGCGCCGATGGCGGAATGAAACCGGTGGCGCCGCAAAACCTGACTACTGCGCCACCTAAGCGGACACTACGAGCAATACGCCGTTATTACTAACACATCAAGGATTATAAACGTATATATATATATATATATATATATATATCATCATTACACTACATTCTTACATAAATATATATATGTACGTGTGTATATACATGTGGACGCTTCTTCGAGGGAGAGTGGCGCACACGACATCGACGCTGCACTGATCTCTTGCGATCTTGTGTGAGTCTCTCTCTTTCTTTTTGAATGCTGATGCGTGTGTGTGAATGCCGCGCGCGCAGATGAAAGGAGAGTGAGAGAGAGAAGGAAGAGGATCGCGCACCGGCGGCTACACTCCGCCGAATCTATAATGGATATTCGCACCGACGGACCACCTGGCCCGCCTCTCTCCCCACTTCGCAACACACACCATCTAACGGGTGTCTACCGATTTACACTAGCGATTGCGACAGGGCCGGACCTTGTCCATCCGACTCCCTACACATTTTTCTTCTTATTTCTTCTTCTTTTTTATCATATACAATTATTTTTTTCTTATTTTTTAATCACGTAAAATTCATGAAAGAATTGAACACCAAAATTTATACCAGAGTCTTTTGTTTTCCATCAGGTGTTTGTCCTAATCCTTGAGCTATACAAGACTTTCCGATCAATCTTCCTTACAAATGTCTATTTTATTTGAAGTAGAGATTCTTGCTTTTTCCTAATTATATTATCAATGAACTTAAGGGTCGTGTAGATTTATCGTAAGCAAGAATAACTTGTAACGTTGTTGAACGATATGTTTGGATCGAGTCATAGATTTTGATCGATAGAGTCGTTTATTTTCAGATTAGTTAAAATTTTTTCGAAAGATACCTTTTCGAAAGTTATTCATTTCCCTTAGTCGATGCGTGAATAATTAGGTCAGCGTTAATTGGCGCGGTTAACTAACGACCAACGCTCGATACTTCCCGACACAAAGCACGATATTAAGCGAGCTAGAACCTGGCTCCCGAACGCTTTGATTATTACGTAGGACGACGAACGATAGCCCGTAATTTTGTCGATTAGTTAATCAGGAAAATTAACCCGGAAACTGTACCGGTCGTTTGTTCTACAAAAATGCGAAACAAAAATTTAAATAAAAAAAAAAATTTATGATGATTTTTTTGTTTTGTTTTATTTTATTTCTTTTATTCTTTATTTTTGAATAACTTCAAGTATAAGATTTCGAATACCTCACAGGTATAAACGAAGGTTGGGCTCGTTTAATTCGTAACAGGAGAGAACTATCGCGAATAAGAAGAAGAAGAAGAACAGAAGAAGAAGAAGAGAGCATACATTAAAAGTTACGACGTTGCTTGAATCTCGCTTTCGCCTCGACCTTTCTTTCTCGTTAGTGCAAAGCAACGAGCTGAGAAAAACACTGGATCTCTCGTCATATTACTCTTTCTCCCTCTCTTTCTCTCTCCCCCTCTCTCTATCTCTCTTTTGCACTTACAAATTGCAAGGTACGATCGTATCCGATAATCGAAGAGAGTTACGAGCCGCCCCTCGTCGATCTTTCATTTTTCCGATCGATTTCTCGATGCCTTCTCTTCCTTCTTGTATCTTCTTTTTCTTTTCCTTTTTTTTTTCCTTCTTATACTCTTTCGATCTCGATTAACGATTACGTCATGGCAAGTAGTACGCTTACTTACATATGGTGTTGAGAATAATTTCAAAAAATGATCGTGATAAAAGTTACAAACTCGTAAATCTTAGATCTTTCAACTTTATCTAAAATTTTCTGTTATCATAGATCGTTTTTTGATCTCGTTAAAATTTATCCCTCTCTCTCTCTATATATATGTCCTATACAGTGAGTCACAGAAGTATTCGTACCTACACAAGATATAATAAAAAATATAATAATTATTTTTGTAAAGAATAAAAGTTGAACCTTTTCTGCAATATATAATTCTTTTAAAATTTATTTTCTAATCATTGATATGATATTTTACGTCTCTTATAATAAAATATTCTTTAGCAATAAAAATTGTTATCAATTTACAAAGTTTAATAATCCTAAAATATGTCTGTTTGTATAAAAATTTGAAAACATTGCATTACAAGCAGATATTAATTGTTTAAAAATGATAGTAGTGGTAAAAGTACAGTGACTCACTGTATACGTATAGTGTATATTCTAAAAATGAAAAAAACATAAATTGTGAAGTGTGGGAAATGTAAAAAAAAAGAGAGAAAAATAAAAAATAAAAGAAAAAATAATTTTTCCCGCGCTTTTCATGCTCGAGATCGGTGTCGAGCCATGAACGTGGCGTAGGGGCGTTCGTTGGTAAAAATATATTTTATATATCAACGAACACACACACACCGATACACGATAGATACAACCGTATAAAACCTATCGATCCGTATATATTCGCAAATAAAAAAAAATAAAAAAAAACAATCATAGAGAACATAACAAAAGCTTTTGAAAAGAGATTATTCCGCTGATCAGTGGTAGTGATGATGGTCGTCACGTTACTCTGTAAAACTTGAATTGCAGATTAGTAAATTAAGTACGTTTATTCGATGATTAAAAAAAATAAGCAGATAAGTAAATCGATACTTTTACAAATAATCAATTGTTACGATTTATGATTAAAACGGTAAAGTAATTTGTAATATTTTTTATATGAAAAAAATTATTATATATGTAAAGATCAAATTATTTTCAATCAGATTCATTTAAATCGCGTAAAAATATTTTTTTACCCGATTACAATCAATAACTTTTCCAACTAACAATTTCCCACAATCAAATTAACGAAACTTGTAATTTTGTTTTTATCAAAAGAAAAAAAGAAAAAATGATCAAAAGGAAAGAAACGAAAATGGAAAAAAAAAATCTTTGAAATAAATCTCGCATGGATCGTCTTTAAACCGAGTAAAAATATCCTTCTACTTTTATCCAATTGAAATTCACTCTTCCACCTTCTCCTCCTCCTCCTCCTCTTCCTGCTCCTCTTCCTCCTTCTTCGTGAAAAACAAGATGAACTCAAAGAGCGTTTATTTTCGAAGCGACTAACCATATTATTTCTACGAGCGCAGGGATAACTACGATAAGGTTGATACGTTTACCTCGTTACTTTCCTGTCATAATCGTAATAAAACCAGCACCGTTCTCGAACTCTGCTCCCTGTAACTACGTTAATTGGCCTCTGAACAGGCCGCGCAAGCTGCGTGACCCGAGATCGTCCACCTAACGGGTGTCTTCATAGTCTTGCAATTAGATCGCTTAAAAAATTTATCTATATTAATAAATTTAACTCGTTCTCTTCTTCCGC